CCATCACCACGAGCCTGTCCTCCCTGATTAAGGTGCAACCAACCTCTTGTGCTATGTACCCTTTAATCCAATAACTACAAGCTTCACTATAAAAATGTAGCTACATTATAAATTATGTATGTAGGGATGTATAAATATATAACAATTTTCAGGATGATGTGCAGTGGGGGAAATATGTACAGTGGGGCCCGAAAATAACCCCATACCTACTGTAAAATATGGTGGGGGATTTTATTTGGGCTTTTTTGGTTTCACTGGTCCTGGGGCCCTTGTTAAGGTCAACGGCATCATTCACTTTATTCAGTACCAGGACATTTTTGCCTCTGCCAGGAGGCTGAAACTTGGCAGCAAGTTTATCTTCCAGCAAGACGATAACCCCAAGCACACATTGAAATTGTTAATTGGTCACAAAATCAACATTATCTTCACAAAGTGAGGTAATGAAAGATGTTGAACTGTCTTTCCCCCCTTTGTTGAACAGTCTCTTTCTCTGAGCAATTGTATTATAATAATATAACTTCCCAGTATATGAATTATTTATTTTATACAGAAATTCTTGCTCATCTTTATCAAGTGTGTCAATAATTTCAGACCCCACTGAAAAAAATGCATATGAGGATGTGCAAATAGAGAAAAGAGAAGTATGCAGATCTAGGATGATAGTTCAGGGTACATAGTCCGTGGATGGCTAGTACAGAGTGCATAGTCCATGAATAAGAAGATCATCGTGGACCAGGTGTTGAGGGCCAAGGCCATTGGGAAGAAGCTGTTCAGGTGGCGGGAGGTTTTGTTCGTGATTGACCAGAGGGAAGTCTTTGGAAGATGGTGTGGAAGGGGTTGGGGGTGATCTTTCCTGCATGCTTCCATGCTCTGGAGTCGTGCAGGACCTCGATGGAGGAGAGTGGCAGCCGATGACCCTCTCAGCAGACCGGACAATCTGTTGCAGATCGCCCTTGGACCGTGCAGACGCATTCCCAAACCAGAAAGTGATCAAGGAGGTGAGTTTGGACTCGATGATGGTTGTGTAGAACTGAACCAGAATTGTGCGTGAGAGTTTGAAGTTATTCAGCTGACTTAAGAAGTATATCCTCTGGTGTGCCTTATTGGTGATTGCTGTGAGGTTGTCCTGCCACTTGAGGTTGTGGGAGATGATGGTCCCCATGAATTTGAATGTCTCAGCCGTGCGGAGAGATACAGTGAGGGAAAAAAGTATTTGATCCCCTGCTGATTTTGTATGTTTGCCCACTGACAAAGACATGATCAGTCTATACTTTTAATGGTAGGTTTATTTTAACAGTGAGAGACAGAATAACAACAAAAAAATCTAGAAAAACGCATGTCGAAAATGTTATAAATTGATTTGCATTTTAATGAGGGAAATAAGTATTTGACCCCCTCTCAATCAGAAAGATTTCTGGCTCCCAGGTGTCTTTTATACAGGTAACGAGCTGAGATTAGGAGCACACTCTTAAAGGGAGTGCTCCTAATCTCAGTTTGTTACCTGTATAAAAGACACCTGTCCACAGAAGCAATCAATCAATCAGATTCCAAACTCTCCACCATGGCGAAGACCAAAGAGCTCTTCAATGATGTCAGGGACAAGATTGTAGACCTACACAAGGCTGGAATGGGCTACAAGACCATTGCCAAGCAGCTTGGTGAGAAGGTGACAACAGTTGGTGCGATTAATCACAAATGGAAGAAACACAAAATAACTGTCAATCTCCCTCGGCCTGGGGCTCCATGCAAGATCTCACCTCGTGGAGTTGCAATGATCATGAGAACGGTGAGGAATCAGCCCAGAACTACACGGGAGGATCTAGTCAATGATCTCAAGGCAGCTGGGACCATAGTCACCAAGAAAACAATTGGTAACACACTATGCCGTGAAGGACTAAAATCCTGCAGTGCCCGCAATGTCCCCCTGCTCAAGAAAGCACATATACAGAGCCGTCTGAAGTTTACCAATGAACATCTGAATGATTCAGAGGAAAACTGGGTGAAAGTGTTGTGGTCAGATGAGACCAAAATGCAGCTCTTTGGCATCAACTCAACTCGCCGTGTTTGGAGGAGGAGGAATGCTGCCTATGACCCCAAGAACACCATCCCCACCGTCAAACATGGAGGTGGAAACATTGTGCTTTTGGGGTGTTTTTCTGCTAAGGGTACAGGACAACTTCACAGCATCAAAGGGACGATGGACGGGGCCATGTACCGTCAAATCTTGGGTGAGAACCTCCTTCCCTCAGCCAGGGCATTGAAAATGGGTTGTGGATGGGTATTCCAGCATGACAATGACCCAAAACACACGGCCAAGGCAACAAAGGAGTGGCTCAAGAAGAAGCACATTAAGGTCCTGGAGTGGCCTAGCCAGTCTCCAGACCTTAATCCCATTTAAAATCTGTGGAGGGAGCTAAAGGTTCGAGTTGCCAAACGTCAGCCTTGAAACCTTAATGACTTGGAGAAGATCTGCAAAGAGGAGTGGAACAAAATCTCTCCTGAGATGTGTGCAAACCTGGTGGCCAACTACAAGAAACGTCTGACCTCTGTGATTGCCAACAAGGGTTTTGCCACCAAGTACTGAGTCATGTTTTGCAGAGGGGTCAAATACTTATTTCCCTCATTAAAATTCAAATCAATTCATAACATTTTTGACATGCGTTTTTCTGGATTTTGTTGTTGTTATTCTGTCTCTCACTGTTAAAATAAACCTACCATTAAAATTATAGACTGATCATGATATATCATGTCTTTGTCAGTGGGCAAACATCCAAAATCAGCAATACTATAAGTACTGTACATCAAATTTCCAGAGTAGGTGCTCTGCTATTTTTGAAGTTATGATACATTTTATGAGCACCAGTACCACAGTGAATGGGCAAATGTATTCAAAAGGAACTCCGTTTGCTGGTGATTTGCTGAATGTGATTGGTTATTGACCTACAGTATAATGTACATTTCTATGTATAAAATTTATCATATCTTCAAAAGTAGCAGAGCAGCCACTGTAATTTTGACGTGTTTGAAGAGTATATTGTTCCAAACAATATGTCTAAAAAAAGAACAATCAAAAAGGGTATTTGAGCCATTTCTTACATTCAGCATTTCTCCGTCAAGCAAAATACAGTATTCTTTCTAACAAATATTTACATATATTTCAGGATGTTATGTATCCCTGGAAATAATCACAATTAATGTAAACATTACAGTTTTGAAATAAAAAAAATTGGTCTCTTGGCAGAACACCGCAGGTATGGGGTAAGTTGAGTCACGTGACAGGGTAAGTTATGCTGCCTACAAATGTCTGTACTGAATGAAATATTACCAATACGTTTCTAAAACCATGTCTATCTTTATTTCTCAAACACAATTCAACGCAATCACAATCACTTCTTTGTTAAGCATCTTTTAACACATGCTTAACACCTAAAAAAACACTTTGTACTTTTTAAACACTTTTAAGATACGCCAGGCAGGCCATGCTTTTAACTCATATTGGCAGGTAGCCTAGTGGTTAAGAGTGTTGGCCCAGTAACCAAAAGGTTGCTGGTTTGAATCCCAGAGCCAATTAGGTGAAAAATCGGTTGATGTGCACTTGAACAAGGCACGTATTGGTATTTTGGCAATGAGGCCCATTGTCTACTTCCACAGAATCAGATGAACTTGTGGATACCATTGTTATGTCTCTGTGTCCAGTATGAAGGAAATTAGAGGTAGTTTCGCGATCCAATGCTAACTAGCAATAACGCAATGACTGGAAGTCTTTGGGTTTTCACTAGCATTACATGCTCTGGATAAGAGCGTCTGCTAAATGTAAATAATAAATACAAAATAATTAAATATCCTAGCAATATTACCTTGCATTATGCCTAGGAAGAAAACACTTCAATTTGCTCAACTTGCCATTGGCTCAACCATTGGCTCAACTTACCCTATGGCCATCCGCTCAACTTACCCCAAGACAAACATTTGGACTATATTAGCACACACAGCTACAAAGATGCACTTTCATGCTAGGTTTAGGACATCAAATTGAAGCTTATAGAGATCCCAACTGATGTATAGAATAATCTTACAATTATCTACTTTGGTTTAGATACAAGCATAGTGAAACCGCTAACACAATAAATTCATTTGACTTGGTGACATTTTTTTTTTTTTTTTCACAGACTCCATGAAATTATGTCCTCTTCCTAAATATTTGGTAAATCATTCATTTTGTGTATGGTTTCCTAGAAAGAAGGGTGGCTCAACTTACCCCTTTGGCTCAACTTGCCCCACTTTTCCTTAGGCCAGATTTGTCTTAGGAAAGAGGTTCTCTGACCTCAATGGGACTCCCTGGTTAGATGAAGCTTAAATATACACTACCATTCAAAAGTTTGGGGTCACATAGAAATGTCCTTGTTTTCGAAAGAAAAGCAATTTTTTTGTCCATTAAAATAACACAAAATTGAAACAGAAATACAGTGTAGACATTGTTAATGTTGTAAATGGCTATTGTAGCTGTAAATGGCTGATTTTTTATGGAATATCTACATAGGCGTACAGAGGCCCATTATCAGCAACCATCAGTCCTGTGTTCCAATGGCACGTTGTGTTTGCTAATTCAAGTTTATATATAATTTTAAAAGGCTAATTGATCATTAGAAAACCCTTTTGCAATTATGTTAGCACAGCTGAAAAATGTTGTGCTGATTAAAGAAGCAATAAAACTGGCCTTCTTGAGACTAGTTGAGTATCTGGAGCATCATCAATTGTGGGTTCGATTACAGGCTCAAAATGTCCAGAAACGAATAACTTCCTTCTGAAACTCGTCAGTGTATTCTTGTTCTGAGAAATGAAGGCTATTCTATGTGAGAAATTGCCAAGAAACTGAAGATCTCTTGAATGTTGTTTTGTTTCAGTTTGTCTAGTCAGTGTTTATTTTGTATTTATTTATTACACCCAGTGTATCTGTCTTGGGTTTTCCATGTTATTTTACAAGTGTTCCTTTTTGACAGGTTTCTGTGACTCCGGCTCCCTCCTTAGACTACACTCTCACACCCTTGAATGATGTCCAGTACTCATCATGCTTGTGTGCCAATGGACGAAATACCTTCAGTTGGACAATGGCACCCTCTGTCCTGGGTAAGTCACTAGTCTTCATTCAACCTTTCAAACAGCAGAATGGATGTCAACCTGAGTTGTGTACTCTCAGTCACCGTATTGGATGTTGTGTAACCTGTGCTGCACTCTGTCTGTCAATGTGTATGTAGGGGTTTTAAATGTGTCCGTTAGTGCAGAGGTTGTCCAGTCCCACACTGCCTGTGACAATAAGATTGTGAACGTACCGGAGAGAGAACGCATCGACACAGTCACACTGAGCCTGCTGGTGAAGGTATGTAGCCTACTGTTGTGGTGGAACTAACTGTTAGGTTGCACAGATACCATCATGTGTAACTGCCTCTGACTGAAAATAATCTCCTCTCCTCTCTAGTCTCTACTCATCTCTTCCAATTCTTTCCTTTCTCTTTCTCTCCTCTATCTCTCTTCTCCTTCTCTCTGTGCTCTCTCTCTCCTCTCAGGCTGAGGGAACAGAGAAGACCGACACCTACAACTGGTTGCTGTGTCCAACTGGTCAGTAATGCATGATTGAACTTATCATCTCTATTCATCTTATCATCTGTGTGTCCACAGGAGAAGCTCTGACAGAGGAGGTGGAACTGCAACTCCCCAAGAATGTGGTGGATGGATCTGATGGAATTTCTCTCTCAGTCCTAGGTAAAATAAACCATTGTATTGTTTAGATAGGCGTAGTGAGTTTAGAGAGGCATAGTGGTGGGAAAAGCAACCCTTCTCCAGTGATAATGTTGCTGTTTGCTAAAGAGGACAGTCTTACAGAAGTCCCATGTTTACCTGTAGGGGACATCCTGGGTCGGGCCCTCAAGAACCTGGATGGACTGTTGCAGATGCCGTATGGGTGTGGAGAGCAGAATATGGCCCTCCTCGTCCCCAATATCTACATCCTCGAGTACCTGAGGAACACAGAGCACTAGTGGTAAGAGAGTCTCTCAAAACATGGATCGTATTGATTAGGCACCAAATGGAAGAAGACTGACTAAAACAGGGCTGGATTTGTCCAATAAGAGGTCTTTGTTTTTGTTTTCCATTGAAGTACATTTTCAAACGTTTCACCACAGTATGCCCTAATGACTACGACCCTGCTATCATATCAATGATACAGCTACACTATAGACGACATCACGATCTCTTATCAACAGAGCATCACTGACCCAACACATGTAGGGACTTCCAGATGTGTCACACCCTGGCTCTGGGACTCTATATGTTGAGCCAGGGTGTGTTCATTCTATGTGGTATATTTCTATGTTGGGGGTTCTAGTTCTTCTGTTTCTTTGTTGGCCTGAGTGACTCCCAATCAGAGGCAACGAGTGTCAGCTGTGGCTGGTTGTCTCTGATTGGGAGCCATATTTAAACTGTCTGTGTTCCCTTGGTGTTTGTGGGTTTTTGTTCCAGTTGGTCATTGTTACGAGTCGTTTTGTTGTTTTGTATCGTGTGTGCACTTTAACTAATTAAAGTATGTTCGCTCAACACGCTGCGCCTTGGTCCTCCTCTATGTATGACGATCGTGACAGAAAAACCCACCATACCAGGACCAAGCAGCGTGTCCAGGAGCAGGCAGCCTGGACGTGGGAGCAGATTTTGGATGGACAGGGGTCCTGGACCTGGGAGGAAATCCTGGCCGGGATGGATCGCCGGCCATGGAGTGAGACTGTAGAGAGGCGACGGAGAGAGGAGCAACGGCGTGATCAGGGTCGTCGTCGGACGGTCGAGAGGCAACCCCAAATAATTTTTAGGGGGGGGCACAGGGCATGGACGACGGGGCTGACGGAGGCAGAAAAGGGGCGTATTCAAAAGGCCACCAGGTTACGGGGGTCACTGGTAAAGGAAGGGAAGGAAGGTTTAGAGGCACGGCGAGAGGTACTGGGATGTGTTACCAGTCCGGTCCGGCCCGTTCCAGATCCCGGGGTAGAGCCAGTGGTGTGTGTCCCCAGTACGGTCCGGCCTGTTACGGCCCCTCGCACCAAATGGACGGTGTGCGTCGCCAGCCCGGTCCGGCCCGTTCCGGCTCCACGCACCAAGCCAGGGGTGCGCGTCGTCAGTCCAGCACAACCCGTGCCTGGGTCACCGGTGCCTGGTAAGGTACCGGTCAACTGCTCCACTACGGAGCTGAAGCTAACCGCTCCTGCTACGTCCAGTTCAGCTCCAGCCAGCGGGGCCAGACCGGACCAGGTGCGCATTGGAGGGTGGTGGGAAAGGCCGGAGCCAGAACCGCCGCCGAGGAGGAATGCCCACCCAGCCCTCCCCTGTTTTGTTCTAGTGGAGGCGCGGTCGCAGTCCGCGCCTTTAGGGGGGGGTACTGTCACACCCTGGCTCTGGGACTCTATATGTTGAGCCAGGGTGTGTTCATTCTATGTGGTATATTTCTATGTTGGGGGTTCTAGTTCTTCTGTTTCTTTGTTGGCCTGAGTGACTCCCAATCAGAGGCAACGAGTGTCAGCTGTGGCTGGTTGTCTCTGATTGGGAGCCATATTTAAACTGTCTGTGTTCCCTTGGTGTTTGTGGGTTTTTGTTCCAGTTGGTCATTGTTACCTAGGACGTTACGAGTCGTTTTGTTGTTTTGTATCGTGTGTGCACTTTAACTAATTAAAGTATGTTCGCTCAACACGCTGCGCCTTGGTCCTCCTCTATGTATGACGATTGTGACAAGATGTTTTCTCGCAAAATCATTTTATTATAGAATATTGATGTTCATCCCAAATGGCACCCTTTACCGTACATAGTGCACTACTTTTTTCCTGGCAAAAAGAGTACACTAGGGAATAGGGTGCTATTTGGGGCACACACTCAGTGACTATAAAAAACACTTGGTCACTCTGTTGTTCACTCTAAAAACTCACCGACAGGTTACCAAAGGCAGCTGAACTACAAGCATGTTGATGGTGCATACAGCACATTCGGACAAGGCTCAGGGAACACTTGGTGAGTACCTGGATGTGTCATTCACTTACTGGTAAACACATTATAACTGTGTCTGTTTCAATTATATATTGACCAACCAAATGGCATTGTCTCTGACAGGGAGACCATGGATGTGACATAAGCTCTCATTGCATGTAGTGTCAAGCTCTAAGTCATGTTTATGAAAACTTTATGTGGGTATTAAATCAAGTTATCTTTCCTAAGGCTGACCGCTTTGTCTTGAGATCCTTTGGCAAAGCACAGTCTTTCATTTATATGAGGAAAATAAAGAAATGGAGGAATCCAAGACTTGGTTGGAACGTCAACAAGGCAAACATGGCTGTTTCCAAAGACTGGGGAAACTCTCTTTAACAACATAATTAAGGTATTTATAATGGTAATAAACGGATAGAAGATGTAGTTGTATGTCCTGCCAGGCATAAAGTTATGAATGATGATTTCAACAGAATTGTATCAGGCTACAGTTTATACACATTTGTATGTCCTACACAACATGCCTACCACTTTGAAGATGCAAAATATTTTTTCTTGTGTATAACTATTCACCACCCCAAAGTCAATACTTTGTAGAGCCACCCTTTGCAGCAATTACAGCTGCAAGTATCTTGGGGTATGTCTCTATAAGCTTGGCACATCTAGCCACTCTGATTTTTGCCCATTCTTCAAGGCAAAACTGCTCCAGCTCCTTCAACTTGGATGGGTTCCGCTGGTGTACAGCAATCTTTAAGTCATACCACAGATTCTCAATTGGATTGAGGTCTGGGCTTTGACTAGGCCATTCCAAGACATTTAAATGTTTCCCCTTAAACCACTCGAGTGTTGCTTTAGCAGTATGCTTAGGATCATTGTCCTGCTGGAAGGTGAACCTCCGTCCCAGTCTCAAATCTCTGGAAGACTGAAACTGGTTTCCCTCAAGAATTTCCCTGTATTTAGCGCCATCCATCATTCCTTCAATTCTGACCAGTTTCCCAGTCCCTGCCAATGAAAAACATCCCCACAGCATGATGCTGCTACCACCGTGCTTCACTGTGGGGATGATGTTCTCGGGGTGATGAGAGGTGTTGGGTTTGCGCCAGACATAGCGTTTTCCTTCATGGCCAAAAAGCTCAATTTTAGTCTCATCTGACCAGAGTACCTTCTTCCATATGTTTGGGGAGTCTCCCACATGCCTTTTGGCGAACACCAAACGTGTCTGCTTATTTTTTTCTTAAGCAATGGCTTTTTTCTGGCCCCTCTTCCGTAAAGCCCAGCTCTGTGGAGTTGTATAGCTTAAAGTGGTCCTATGGACAGATACTCCAATCTCCGCTGTGGAGCTTTGTAGCTACTTTAGGGTTATCTTTGGTCTCTTTTTTTGCCTCTGATTAATGCCCTCCTTGCCTGGTCCGTGAGTTTTGGTGGGAGGCCCTCTCTTGGCAGGTTTGTTGTAGTGCCATATTCTTTCCATTTTTGAATAACTGATTTAATGGTGCTCCGTGTCTGTACTTCTCTACAACTTTGTCCCTGACCTGTTTGGAGAGCTCCTTGGTCTTCATGGTGCCGCTTGCTTGGTGGTGCCGCTTGCTTAGTGGTGTTGCAGACTCTGGGGCTTTTCAGAACAGGTGTATATATACTGAGATCATGTGACAGATCATGTGACACTTAGATTGCACACCAGGTGGACTTTATTTAACTAATTATGTGACTTCTGAAGGTAATTGGTTGCACCAGATCATATTTAGGGGCTTCATAGCAAAGGGGGTGAATACATATGCACCACTTTTCCGTTATTTATTTTTTAGAATTGTTTGAAACAAGTAATTTTTTTCATTTCACTTCACCAATTTGGACTAATTTGTGTATGTCCATTACATGAAATCCAAATAAAAATAAATTTAAATTACAGGTTGTAATGCAACAAAATAGGAAAAACGCCAAGGGGGATGAATCCTTTTGCAAGGCACTGTATAATACTGTAAACTGTCACGTCTCCTCCCGTTGCTCCCCTCCGGCGCGCTGATTCGCCGGTCTGCTGAGCCACTGGTCGGAGCGCACCACCTCTGCAACACAGGAATGGAAACCCAACGCACCCTAATTAGGAGACACTTATCTCCATCACTAACTTTAAGCATCAGTTGTCGGAGCACCTTACCGATCACTGCACCTGTACACAGCCCATCTGAAATTAGCCCACCCAACTACCTCATCCCTATATTGTTATTTATTTTTGCTCATTTGCACCCCAGTATCTCTATTTGCACATCATCTCTTGCACATCTATCATTCCAGTGTTAATACTAATTGTAATTATTTTGCACTATAGCCTATTTATTGCCTTACCTCCATAACTTGCTACATTTGCACACACTGTATATATATTTTCTGTTGTATTTTTGACTTTATGTTTTGTTTACCCCATATGTAACTCTGTGTTGTTTTTATCGCACTGCTTTGCTTTATCTTGGCCAGGTCGCAGTTGTAAATGAGATCTTGTTCTCAACTGGCTTACCTGGTTAAATAAAGGTGAAATTAAAATAAATTACCTCCAGCGCACCTGCACCTCATCATCTCATCACCACCACTATATAGCCCTGGACTGTTCAGTCATTTTTGCGTGTAATTGTTAGCGTCGTGTCGTTTACTCGCTCGTTGTTATGTGAGAGAAGAACTTTGCATTGTGTGTGTTCCTCATCCCTCAGGGGGTCTCCTGCACTGGACTCAGACCTCCTCAGAGACCTCAGCCTCCCTGGCAGTGGAGATCAGCTCTGCTGACTTCCCTCAGTGCCTCTCCTCTGTCTTCCTCTGACCTGGGCTATGCCTCCCGCATCATCAGGTGGCTGGTGAGACAGCAGAACGCCTATGGAGGCTTCTCCTCCACACAGGTATACTTCCAAAACACCTCTGTTCCAAAATGGCTCCCTGTGCTGTGCACTAGTAGTGAGGCATTATTACCTTGACTTTTACCAGACCACAGGCTTCTATGTGCTTCTTGTCATGGCAAGCCTGACGAGGATAACTTCCACTGAAACAGAGCCAAGAAATCATAATGGATGGAAATGGGAAATAGTCACTCTAGGAACTGAACCAATGTAAAAAGCAACCCTTTCTGTAAAATTGGGTATTTTCTTTCATTTTGAACAGATTTTTCTGTGGTCTGTTGGTGTGTGTTTAGGACACAGTTGTGGCCCTCCAGGCCCTAGCTCTCTACTCCACCAGGGTGTACAGTAGAGAGGGTGCCAGCACAGTGGCTGTACAGTCTCCCAGTGGGGCACAGCACCTCTTCGATGTGAACCAAAACAACAAGCTTCTCTACCAGGAGAGGACGCTGCAGGACACAGAAGGGAAGTACAGTGTGGAAGTGAAGGGCAGTGCCTCGGTGCAGGTCAGTGAACACACATCTATCCTCCCAATCCTATGGTGGCAAAATACAATTTTATCTATCACTAAAGCTACAGTCTGGGAATGATTTTTTGTTTTGTTTTAGCAAAACAGCAGCCCTGTGCCACTTGATTTGGTATACAGCTGAGGGATATGGCGGGGGAAATGTAACTCCTTGTCACGATCGTCGGGAACAGAGGAGGACCAAGGCGCAGCGTTGAAGGCACACATACTCTTTATTAGTGAATAACCGAACAAAACAACAAAAACGATAACGTGACGTCCACGGTCTAAACACAAACCACACTGGAACAAGATCCCACAACCACTGTGGGAAAACAGTCTGTCTAAATATGGTTCCCAATCAGAGACAACCAGCAACAGCTGACACTCGTTTGCCTCTGATTGGGAACCACTCTGGCCAACATAGAAATACAACTACTAGACAAACAAATGGAAACTCACACCCCGGCTCAACATACAAGTGTCCCCAGAGCCAGGGCGTGACAGTACCCCCTCCTAAAGGCGCGGACTCCGACCGCGCCAACTAAATACCACAGGGGAGGGACCGGGTGGGCACTCCGCCCTGGCGGCGGATCCGGCTCCGGGCCTGATCCCCACTCCCTCTCCAACCCCCCAAAGTACCCCTGGTCCGGTCTGGCCCCGCTGGCCGGAGCTGGAAAGCACACTGGTGGAGCGGATTGCTCTAGCTCCGGCGTGAAGCAGCTGACCGGTGCCGGACCAGGCACCGGTGGAACAGGCACGGGCCGTGCCGGACTGACGACGCACACCAATGGCTTGGTGTGGGGAACAGGCCCGGGCCGTGCCGGACTGACGACGCACACCACTGGCTTGGTGTGGGGAGCAGGAGCGGGCCGGACCGGGCTGGCGACGCGCACCATTGGCTTGGTGCGGGGAGCAGGAGCGGGCCGGACCGGGCTGGCGACGCGCACCATTGGCTTGGTGCGGGGAGCAGGAGCGGGCCGGACCGGGCTGGCGACGCGCACCATTGGCCTGGTGCGGGGAGCAGGAACAGGCCGGGCCGGGCTGGCGACGCGCACCATAGGCTTGGTGCGGGGGGCAGGAGCGGACCGGGCTGGCGACGCGCACCATTGGCCTGGTGCGGGGAGCAGGAACAGGCCGGGCCGGGCTGGCGACGCGCACCATAGGCTTGGTGCGGGGGGCAGGAGCGGACCGGGCTGGCGACGCGCACCATTGGCCTGGTGCGGGGAGCAGGAACAGGCCGGGCCGGGCTGGCGACGCGCACCATAGGCTTGGTGCGGGGAGCAGGAACAGGCCGGGCCGAGCTGGCGACGCGCACCATTGGCTTGGTGCGGGGAGCAGGAACAGGACGGGCCGGGCTGGCGACGCGCACCATTGGCTTGGTGCGGGGAGCAGGAACAGACCGGACCGTACTGGGGACACACACCACTGGCCCTACGCAGGGATCTGGAACGGGCCGGACCGGACTGTTAACACACCTCAGTACCTCTCGCCGTGCCTCTACACCTTCCTTCCCCTCTTTGACCAGTGGCCCCCGTAACCTGGCGGCCTCCTCTGCCAACCCGCTGGGCCGCTCTATCGCGGTCTCCTGCTGCCCCGTCGTCCACGGCGTTAGCCCCCCCCTAAAAAAATTCTGGGCTTCTCTCCTACACGTGGACCAGGTCTCCATACTTTTCGCCAGCCTTTCGCCCTTCTGCTTCCACGTCAAGCCCCTCTCTTGCTCACCCGGCTTGACCCAGTCGAGGAGGCGCTGGATATCCGCCAGAGATTTCCCTGGCGATGGCTCCTGGACCCGCTGCTTGGTCCAGTTCTGGTGGGATCTTCTGTCACGATCGTCGGGAACAGAGGAGGACCAAGGCGCAGCGTTGAAGGCAAACATACTCTTTATTAGTGAATAACCGAACAAAACAACAAAAACGATAACGTGACGTCCACGGTCTAAACACAAACCACACTGGAACAAGATCCCACAACCACTGTGGGAAAACAGTCTGTCTAAATATGGTTCCCAATCAGAGACAACCAGCAACAGCTGACACTCGTTGCCTCTGATTGGGAACCACTCTGGCCAACATAGAAATACAACTACTAGACAAACAAATGGAAACTCACACCCCGGCTCAACATACAAGTGTCCCCAGAGCCAGGGCATGACACTCCTCGTGAATCATTGTTATATTCTTTAAGCCTCAATGGTTATAATTCAAGAATTGAAGTAACCATCATACAGATAGCCATATCCCAGACTGGGGCTTGAAGAAGCCTCTCCTTAATAAGTTATAATTTATGTAATGTTTAATATACTAGCTTATAAAATATATATTTTTAGACAGGATGGTTTCCCTGACTTCTTCTTCCCTCTTTCCCAGGTGGCGCTCCACTACAAGATTCCTACTCCTTGTCACGGTTTCGGCCGAGGCTGCTCCTCCTCCTTGTTCGGGCAGGTTTCGGCGGTCGTCGTCCCCGGAGTACTAGCTGCCACCGATCTATGTTTCATGTTCGTTTGGTTTTGTCTTGATGTTGTACACCTGTGTCTAGTTAGTCCTCATTAGTGTCCTATTTAGTTCTCGTTGTGTGTGTCAGGTGTTGTGTGTGATTGCTCTTCTGTTTGGTGTTCTGAGCTACGTGTTTCCCTCCGTTGTTTTGGAAAGGTTTTCGCACATGTTAGTGCGCCTGTTGTTTGACGCCTGTGTGCGCCTTTATTCTCGCCTCCGGGCTTGTTTGCTCGTGTACTACGTGAATATTTCACTAAAGTCTTTTGGACTTAGTTTCTGCGTCCTGCGCTTGATTCCTGCACCACACCCACCTTCAGCACCCCTGACAGAATCACACACCTTAATGAATGGAATCAGCAGGAGCAACAGTCACGCCTGAGTCGCTGGAGGAGCATGTCCGCGGCCAGGATGACCAGATCAGACAACTGGGGACCGCTCTACAGGACGTCATCAACACCCTGCACCGATGGGAGTCCAGAGGGGTACCCACACCTCCACCTACCTTGCCACCCCCATCGGCCGGTCCACCAGTCCCAGGTCCGGAACCCAGTGGGATTCGGCTCTCGCTCCCGAGGGCGTATGACGGCACAGCTGCCGGGTGTCAGGGGTTCCTCCTGCAGGTGGAGCTCTACCTGGCCACTGTACACCCGGTGCCCTCGGGACACGAGAGCGTTTCCGCCCTCATCTCCTGTCTCATGGGCAAGGCGTTGGAATGGGCCAACGCCGAGTGGAGGAGGATGGACGCCACCACCATCTCCTACGCCGAGTTCTCCCGTCGCTTCAAGGCCGTGTTCGACCATCCACCTGAGGGCAAAGCGGCGGGGGGAGCGTCTATTCCACCTGAGACAGGGGAGGAGGAGCGCACAGGCGTTCGCACTGGAGTTCCGGACTCTAGCGGCAGACGCAGGGTGGAATGAACGGGCCCTCATCGACCATTTTCGATGTAGCCTACGGGAGGACGTTCAACGTGAGTTGGCCTGCAGGGACACCAATTTCACCTTCGACCAGTTGGTCGACATGTCCATCCGTCTGGACACCCTGCTGGCCACCCGTGGACGTTCCGAGTGGGGTCCGTCCATTCCACCCTCCGGCACCTCCGAGCCGAGCCCTATGGAGCTCGGGGGTGCTGGCGCTAGAGAAAGGAAGAGGAGGAGCCCGAGGGGGCCTGTCCCCTGCACCAATTGCGGTCGTGGAGGGCACACTGCGGCCAGGTGCTGGGGAGGGTTCCCCGAGGGAGGAGACAACAGGCCACGCACTGGGGAGCCTTCCCAGGTGAGTAGACGCCCCACTTACCCAGAGCTCTCTGTTGCGCACTTTTGTATACCTGTTTGTTTTCCACAGGTTGCACCTCATTCCCAGCATAAGGCACTAGTAGATTCAGGCGCAGCTGGGAATTTTGTTGATCGGAAGTTTTGTTTAGATTTAGGGATCCCTCTCCTGCCTGTCGACAAGCCTTTTCCCGTTCATGCTTTAGATAGCCGCCCGTTGGGGTCGGGGTTGATTAGGGAAATCACAGCGCCACTTAGGATGTGTGCGCAGGGGGGTCATGAGGAGACTATACAGCTGTATCTGATCGACTCTCCTGCGTACCCGGTGGTGCTGGGAATTCCCTGGTTAAGTACCCATAACCCTGCTATTTCGTGGCAACAGAGGGCTCTCAATGGGTGGTCTGCTCAGTGTGAGGGGCGATGTCTGGGTGTTTCCGTAGGGGCGACCTCGGTGGAAAGTCCAAACCAAGTGCCCGCACTGCACATTCCGCCTGAATATGGGGATTTGGGTCTCGTGTTTAGTAAAGCTAGGGCGACGCAGTTGCCTCCTCATAGACATGGGGATTGTGCGATTGATCTCCAGGCAGGAGCAGCGCTCCCACGGAGCCACGTGTATCCTTTGTCTCAAGAGGAGAGAAAAGCTATGGAAACTTACATAGCCGAATCTTTGAGACAGGGATACATACGGCCCTCCACTTCTCCCGCCTCCTCGAGCTTCTTTTTTGTGAAGAAAAAAGATGGAGGGTTGCGCCCGTGCATCGATTACCGTGGTCTCAATCAGATTACTGTGAAATACAGTTATCCACTCCCTCTGATTGCGACCATGACGGAGTCGTTGCACGGAGCGCGGTTTTTCACAAAACTGGATCTTAGGAGCGCGTATAACTTGGTGCGCATTAGGGAGGGCGACGAATGGAAAACAGCGTTTAGTACCACGTCAGGTCATTTCGAGTATCTCGTCATGCCATACGGGTTGATGAATGCTCCATCAGTCTTCCAATCCTTCGTGGATGAGATTTTCCGGGATATGCAGGGGCAAGGGGTGGTCGTGTACATTGATGACATTCTAGTGTACTCGTCTACCCGAGCCGAGCATATAGCCCTGGTGCGTCGTGTATTGAGGAGGCTGTTGGAGCACGACCTGTATGTCAAGGCAGAGAAATGTCTGTTTTTCCAGGAGTCGGTCTCCTTTTTGGGTTATCGGTTGTCCGCGTCAGGGGTGAGAATGGAGGTGGATCGTGTGTCAGCCGTGCGTAATTGGCAAACCCCAACCACTGTCAAAGAGGTGCAGCAGTTCTTGGGCTTTGCGAATTACTGTCGTATTGCCAGGACCGGCCTGAGGAGTGGGCTCAGTACATTCCCTGGGCCGAGATGGCCCAGAACTCTCTCCGCCACTCCTCTACCAACCTAACCCCCTTCCAATGTGTGTTAGGTTACCAGCCGGTTCTGGCACCTTGGCAGCAGAGCCAGATCGAGGCCCCTGCGGTGGATGATTGGATGAGGCGCTCGGAGGAGACGTGTAACGCTGCACACGTCCACCTGCAGCGGGCCATCCGTCGACACAAGGCGAGCGCCGATCTCCACCGCAGTGAGGGGCCGGTGTACGCACCCGGAGATCGAGTTCTAGTTTGTACCTAGGCTTGGATCAGTAACAGTAATAAAACATATCTGGTATTTTTATGGCTAAAATAATATAATTATCCATTCATTTGATTATTACAAGCACTTGTCAAAATCAAACTTTGATATCACAGGCATCTCTTTGCTTTCACAAATATCATGGAAAGGAGCTTACCACCAATATGATTATAGTGGATTTGAAAATGCTGTCTGGGTTTGACCCAGAGTCTCTGGGGAGGGTGAGTTTTTCTGGTAACATACATTTATGGTGTTACCTGTGACCTTTTTACATGTAGCTCTTGCCTCTCATCTGTGAACCTTTCTGAAACATACTTTTTTGGTCCATGCAATATGAACAATCAATAAATGGGATGTCTTCACAGCTGAGCGGTTCACTTCTAGTGGATCGTGTCGATACTAAAGATGACCATGTGTTAATGTACTTGAGAGAGGTGAGACCAGTTTGCACACTCAATATAATGGAATTAATCTGAAATAACATACTTTATATATTGACGTACTTCTGGTAACATACATCTACTCTGAAATTATTTGTGTGGAATGTCCTTCAGTCAGCAAAGCTGATAGGAAACTTCAGCTTAGAGCGTTGTAAATAAATGTTTTTTTCCTCCCAACAGTTACCATCACTATTTCCTTTCAACCACACCCTGGACATCATACAGGAGCTCCCAGCACAGAATCTAAAGCCAGCGGTGGTCAAGATCTATGACTACTACCAGCCAAATACGTTTATATCCAACCCTCCCCAAAACACATTTTCCCCTCTTCTTTTTAGTAACATTTGGTTAACTTGTTTTCATTTACTGAGATTTATCTGTCTTATTGTTGTATTCAGGTGACCAGGCAGAGACATAATGTCTTCCCTTGCAAGTAGGGGTTACAAACTGGTTACCTATTTTTAAATCTTGAATTATTGGTAATTTTAGATACTGTAGCTGACCCATGTACTATATGTAACATTCGTTATTTAGTTAACTGGGTCAATATTCCTTTTACCTAAATGCTGGTCAGTTTGTTGAAGCGTTCATTCCTTACATCTATCTATTCATTGTATTTGCCCCTCTGCAGATGTAAGAAGAAAATGACATTCACAGAAGTCACACCTACAACCCTTGAGACATCTTTCAAGCTCTAAAGTAAATGAAGTTCAAAACAGTAGTCTTGAAAAAAAATAATCCAGATTGTTTTGTGTGTACGTTTTGATGTCACACTGTGGCAAGAAATGAGTTCCAAGATGTAGGCTCAGGAGACAAGGTGAATATTGAAAGGATTTTTGTAAGACAGTGGGTCCCTTCCTGGGGTACTAGTACCCATGGGGGTACCTGGCCTTTCAACAGGGGATACTTGGGAAGACTCATAGGCAGATCAATATGTGAATGGGGGTACAGTAAATAAAGAGAACCACTATACTAGATCACATCAAAGGGTAAAAAACTATAGCCTACCTTCTGGAACAAATGATTAAGTTCCAGAGAGCTGCAATTTGATGTTGCCAACTATACGAAGGTGTGCAAATGTTCTCTAAATTTTGCTCAAAGCTTTTGGTTCTAAGCTTTTTTCTTCCTCCATCTGTAATCATCATGGTCCCCCCTGTAGTAATAATCAAGGCGTGGTTCTCTTATTTCTCATCAGGGAATGGGATCCAGGAAATCCACTCACTCTAAATCCCATCAACAAACATCTTATAAAGGGATGTGTCCTGTCCTGTCCTGACGTAATGAGTCCTGGCTATAATCTCCATTATGAATATCTCCTAATGCACTAATGACAATTTATTGAGCTAATTGTGTGGATAAGGCATGGAAAGATGTGGTCGAGGAAACTTCATACAGGAAACGCCACGTATTAGTTAAAACATTTATTAGAAAGATATGCAATTCGTTGTCTTGGTGTAAGGCTCTGCTCCTTCAGGGTAGCTCACTGCCAGAGTGTGCATCATGTTAAGATAATAATTACAGTCAGTGAGCAAGGTACGCTGTACCAATCACCCTGCAGGAAGGAAACACAGAACCAAACAGGTGGAGGCTAGGGTGGTTGCTGGAAAAAGAAACCGCATACTATCGAGCAACCAACAGCAGTAGAGGAATTCTGAGTCGGAAACTCTAGCATCTTTCTAGGGCGGTGACTTTCCAACCTAAAGATCACTGACGCCATGATTTGACCTTGTTTTTTTTTACAAGTTCCCAGTTGTCTTGAAAGCACCAATCGTAACTAGCTTGCTTACAATTTCGGATGACGAGTGAGCGTTTTAGTGTGACGAAGACTCACTAGGTACCGCGGGATCTCGACAAGATCGCGCTGTGAGCACACTTTTCTCCGAGCTCTGTATCAAAACTTGGTGAATTTGTGAAACTCCTACAAATTAGCTATAGTTCTGTCCTTTGACTGTTTAACAATTGTATATTATTAAAGACTAAGTTTAATCTTATTTTGTCGAGTTCTGCCCTGATGAAATGTAAAGATAGACGAAAGGCTAGCGTTGACACAGCATCACGTGGAATGGACATGTCCAGACATGCTCCTGAAGCTCAGGCTAATGTTCTAATCGCTAGCTGCAACGATTATGCTGTTGGCCCAGTGTATACTCCCCAACTTTCTCTTATGGACAACGAGGACTTTCCCCCCTCCAGCCATCCCTCCAAGCAAACCTCCTGCCTCTAAAAAAGGCACGTCTGACTAACTTCAACTCGGCTGACATCACCACGCTTTCACAATTAATCGACAGTAGAACTGATGCCCTGAATAAAAGTTTTGGGTAGCAACGAGGTCGACTTCACATGTGCAGAGATAAAAGATATGAAAGAAAAGGTTACCCACCTTAAAAAGTGCATCCAGAATGAAGAAAGGAGCTACTGGAGGTGTTGGAACTTGAAACAGCAGGGGGTCCCTGAGGTGGAGATGCAAGATGTACGTCAGGAGACCATAAGGATCTGCCAAGTTATTCTCCCGGAGGAGAAGACCAAACTCCCTGAGGTGATTGACACCGTTCACCGTCTCAGCTCCAAGCATCTCAACAACTCCAAGCCCAGAAGCATCATCATGCAGTTTACGAAGCAGGTCTACAGAGTTGCAGTGTGGAAGGCAGTGTAGAAGTCCACCTACCTGCAAACCAACTGACTGAAGTTTGCTGAGGATTTCTCCAAGGCTGACAGAGAGCGGAGGGACATGCTGTGGCCAGCAATTGAGGCAGTGTGCAAGGAGAGGAAGATGGCATATTATGCCGGGGCACATGCTTTCATCAATGGAACTGACATTTTTCCCTTCCTGAGAACATAAAGTTATTGCTGGAATGTTACATTCATCCTAATCCTATGCACATGTCTGAGCATTTCACCTTTTGGAGTGTGGACAATGAAGGCATTTATTTTTGTATTCTGTTTGATATTTTTATTTCCTTTTATATGAAAAGGCCACTTCAGGAGTATTTGTTTTGCTGACTGAAAGCTAATAAATGTTTTATATAACTGATTGACAGCTAATTATTGGTATATATATTTTTTACTCATTTAGGTCTATGCATATGGTGCGTGTTAAGCTATGGTTAAACCCAGCACTCAGAGAAACAAAACACGACTAAGGGAGTGGAAGAAACAAAAATTATTTTACTAAAAGTTCAATTTGTCTTAGTCCAAAAACAACTGAAGAAAAGGAACAGAGTGGGCTAGTCGGCTCCGGAGGAAGGAGAGGCTGAGGCAGGCAGGCAGGCAGGCAGGCTGGCTGGAAGGCAGGCAGGCAGGTTGGGAGGTATGTCTGAACTGAAGACAAAACAAACGACAGGTTAAGGAGAGTAAAGAGCCAGGCTGAAGACAAAGACAATTTACTCTACTGGTGAGCCAAGTTACCGCTCTAGTAAGAACAACGATCTGGCGCCGGTGGAGAGCCATGCCCAGGAATTAGTAGTGCAGGTTGATGAGAGAATAGGATGCAGCTGCGTAGGCAGGAATCACTGGAAACAACCCGCAGCTGCACAGGAGAGGCAGATCCTGAGCACGCCCCCCGATCCACTCCAGACACACCCACATAATGGGGACACAGGTTTCAGTTGGGAGACGTGGAAAGTAGGGTGAATCTTCATGGCTGAAGGCAACTTCAAACGAACCGCAGCGGGGTTAACGATGGACTCCACCACAAACGGACCCAGGTACCGAGGAGGTACGTTCTTAGATGACAGCCAAACTTCTTGACCAGGATGAAACACAGGTGCGGGAGTCCTGCTCCTATCCGCTGTCGTCTTGTTCCTGTCGGTGGTCCGAAGCAACGCTTCCCGAGCGTCGCTCCACACTCTCTGGCAGCGGCGGAGGTTCTCCTGAACCGAAGGAACAGCCAATTCCTTCTCCTGAGCAGGAAACAGAGGGGGTTGATAACCCATGGTTACTTCGAAGGGTGAAAGGCCGGTGGCAGAGGTGGTGAGGGAGTTGTGGGCGTACTCTATCCAAGGCAGATGTTTGGCCCAGGATGATGGATGTTGAGCAGCCACACAAAGAAGGGTTGCTTCGAGGTTTTGATTGGCTCTTTCTGTTTGACCGTTGGTCTGGGGATGAAACCCTGAGGACAGACTAACGGAAGCACCCAAAGCAGAACAGAAAACCTTCCAAACACGGGAAGTAAACTGTGGGCCTCTATCAGATACGATGTCCACAGGTATTCCATGGGGACGGAATACATGTTGGACTAGGAGGTCCGCTGTCTCACTGGCAGACGGTAATTTTGGTAATGCTATATAGTGAACAGATTTAGAGAATCTGTCCACAATGGTAAGTATAGTATCATTACCTTCAGACTTGGGTAGGCCGGTGACAAAATCCATGGCTATGTGGGACCAGGGACGGCTTGGAACTGGGAGGGGTAGCAGCAGCCCCGAAGGGGACTGATGGGAGGCTTTGCCCCGAGCACAGGTTGAACAGGCTGCCACAAAAGCCTGAACGTCAGTTTCCATTGAAGGCCACCAAAAATGTCTCCTAAGCAGCGTCAACGTGCGTCTCATCCCAGGGTGACCAGCAAAACGGGAGGTGTGAATCCACTGCAACATCTGAGACCGGACCGTCTCGGGAACAAAGAGTAGGTTGGGAGGTCCATCACCCGGTCCCGGGTCCGTGGCAAGTGCAGTCTTCACAAGAGACTCGATCTCCCACTGTACTGCCGCCATGACGCATGAGGAAGGTAGGACTGCCTCAGGCTCGCTGGTCTCCGAAGGGTCAGCAAACTGGCGGGACAAAGCATCTGGTTTAACATTTCTTGACCCCAGTCTGTATGTAAGAATAAAGTTAAACCTACTAAAAAACAGGGCCCATCTGGCTTGGCGTGAGTTGAGTCTCTTAGTGGCTTGGATGTAAGCCAAGTTTTTGTGGTCTGTCCAGACCACAAACGGCAGTTCAGCTCCATCCAGCCAGTGCCGCCATTCTTCCAGTGCTAGCTTAACCGCCAGCAGTTCCCGGTTTCCAACGTCGTAATTCCGTTCTGTGGGTGACAATTTCTTGGAGAAAAAAGCACAGGGGTGAAGCTTTTGGTCAGTGGGGGAGCGCTGGGAGAGGACTGCTCCCACACCTGAGTCAGACGCGTCCACCTCCACAATAAACTGCAGAGAGGTATTGGGGTGTATCAACACGGAGGTGGAAAACAGTTCCTTCAAAACCCCTACCGCCTGCTCTGCCTCAGGGGACCACAGAAAATGGACTTTTGGGGATGTGAGTCTAGTAAGGGGTGCCACCACTTTACTAAAACCCTT